GTCCTGGCTCCAGCTTGAAGAGTCCCGTGGTGACATCAGAACTTTGGTATCTATATTTAAACATTTTTTGTGTTATTGCCATTATTTCAGAGAAAAGCTGATGATCTGGCATGAATGAATCCACTACAGATATATCTGCTGGAGTAAGGAAAGAACTTTAAAACTTTATGAGTTGAGAATTATTTCATTCATTTTTCAAAGGTTATTAATTCTGAAACTTTTCTGTTGAATACAGGAGTAGACTTGGGTGTGTAAGGGAGAAGTTCTTCTAATTGTAGGCAAATGGACTTGATTTCTCAGAGAACAAGAAGGAAAAATATAGCAAAACCCTTGTTGGAACAAGAGATACAAAACCACTTAAAGAGGCTTGAGAGGAAAAGAAACACACAAAGGCTGGAGTTAAACAGAACTTAGTAGGATTTAGAAGTGTACTTAGAAAAAATAATCCTCAAAAGAAAGAGAACAGCATCCCTTTCCACCCAAAATCAAAAAGGAACACTTAAAATATTCTTAAACTTGTTCTTAAAGTATTTAGTTTCTTTTAATAACACTCATGATATGTTGAGTAGTCCAAAAGGATTGTGTGTGTATTGGCAAACCACAGTGGCCTTTTGGATACTCAGTCTTCATCTAAGCGTGTTTCAGATATATGTGTGATAAACCTCATTTGCTAAATATGGGAGATTGATCTATTGTATAGCACAGAAGCTGTGTGTGATGTAATGAGAAATCTGATTATCAGGACCCTTTTACTGAGACTTTTCTGAAACTTTGTGATTGCTTTTCTTCTGGATCCCCTATACAATCTGCATTGCCATTCATTTTATTATGGAACACTATTGGGAGTAACGAGAAACAAAATTCAAGACCAGGCCTCTCTTTCTTTTTTTTTCTTTTTTGTTTTGTTTTGTTTTGTTTTGTTTTGACAATATTCTTGTTCAGGTACTGCTGTGAATGGGAACATCATCCATCAAGAAGCATAGGGTTCAACAGCCAGAGTCTGGAGCAAAATAATCTGGCACTGCTGTTCTGGGTAGTGGATCATTTGTAGCTTTAGACAGACAGAGTGCATGATCTTTCAATCTCAGTTTCCCTTTCTGTAATATAGAGTGATGAGAATAATTTAATTCTTGTTATTATCTGACACAATATTTCTATTTACTACAGACAGATGCAATGGTATGGAAATAGCCTTAATGAGGATTGTTCAAAATCAGAGCATATCCATCATTCCTCATTTAATTGTTTCAATTTTTTTAGTGAAGAAATTGAGTTCATAATTGAAGAGACCAAAACATTTAAAGGTTGGGTTTGTATTCTGGAGAGTATTCAGAATTTCAAGAAAACTACCCCCCCACTGTTTCATTATGAGAAATATTCTAAAGGCTTTCCAAAAGTTTTGTCTTTATGCAGAACCACAGTCTGTTTATTTCTTCATGCCAAAGATGAGGTTTGGCACAGTGTTGTCCCATACCCTTGCCAAAAGCTCTCCTAAGAGCACACTCAGTTAGTTTATATTACTACTTTTGAGAAAGGAAACATTAAAGAACCCATATTTTTAATACAGTATAAAGGTCCTCTGAAGGCTGAAAATGCCTCCCTCTGGCCCCACCTCACTGCAAAGGACTAGGGTATGTGAGGGAAAAAGGAGTCCTACAGTCAAAGAGCTGTCTCTGTGTGAGGCCTGGGAGCGAGGACAGCTTCATGCTAACCCTCGTTTTCCTGCAGGCTACGTTTTCAAAAAGTGCTTCTAAGTGTGGTTGCCCAAGTGGAGACAACCATGGCTTCATTTTCAGCAAGTCTGGGCAATTTTAAACACCTGTTGATTCAAGTGAAGATGGACCTAGGCTGCCTCCTGCCAGTGTTTCCAAACTTCTGCAAGTGCAGGGTACCCAGTATCAGGTCTGTCCCTCTCCCTCTGTGTCCCTGATACACTGACACGTTGCCTTTGCAGCTTCTATAAAGGGTCACTAAGTCAGAGAAAGGCCATGGTTATTCTATTTATACATGTAAATGTAACTTGTATATAACTTGCATTTTCTCTGCTATTAAATTGGTATAACCTGTAACTGATGCCTGGAACCCTGGGCCTCTCCCTGCTACCTAGAATGATGTACCAGGCATAATTTTTAATTTTGGCTTTGGTATTGTCTTATATATTTGGGAAAGAGAAACTTGAGGGATCTGCTAACTCTGCTGCAGAGACTGCTGATCACTAAACCATTTCATTTAAATGCAAAAGGTTTATTTTTTTTAACTTCTGTGAAGTATTGAAATCTGAGATAATTCAAAATTTGAACAAAGAAGGCTATTACCATAGAAATGACCAAGTTTGTAGCTGTATTATGCACAGAGTGAGAGAGCATTTTAGGTGATTTTTTGATGATCCTTGCATTGTAAAAGAAAAACGTAAGTACATGTATCTGTGCATCTGTGTATCCATTCATCCACTCAGAACTCAGACTGTACATTTAGAAATGGAAGCCAGCTGTTAAAGCTGTGTATCTGCCTCCTCCTGGGGTGTCCATTCAACCCCGCAGGCTGCATGGGGCAGGCACAGGCAGCTATCACAGAACTCAGCTGAAGCAAGGAAGACACTTTTTTCCATTTGAGTTCCCCACGCCATATGACAGCCAAATTTAATTTTCAAATATGCTTTTTCCCCCCTAAAGAAACTGCCAGTTCCAGAATTTCATGTTCAATCATCTTGTTCAACCACAATGCCTCTTCCTCCTAGCGATGAGTCCAAAGAATTTTCATTAGGTGGCTGAATATCCAGATGTTAGGCATGTCTGTGCAAAATCTGCATATTAAATCTGAGTGTCCAGTCTTGCATGGGTGGGATCCTTTCTCTTTTCTGTTAAGAATACCTGTCTTTGAGACCTATCAGAGTTGTGTTAGTGTGGATCAATCTTCAGTGTCTAGGCCCTTAACACTTTATATTCAAAGTTAACACTTGAGTTACAAAGCATTTCCAGTATGTTATGAAACTGAAAACATGCTGAAAATTTTTAAAGTATTCAAAGAGGGAGTTATTTTATAATCTGCAATTATGCTCAATACTGGTGTTTCTGGATATCATAGAAGTGGAAAACTTTAACGGGTTGGTCCTCCTGTCGTAACTTCACACTGATACTCAGATGTCAGTCCTTGGAGAACTTCGTCCTCTTTTCTGCTGTAAATAAATATTTTGTTTAGTTAGCCTGCTGGAGGATTTAAAAGGAAATCAACACGTTCTGTAGACTCAAAGAGTGAGGACTGTTTATTTGTAGATTCTGACTGCCTGCATATTACAGGCCGAAAAATATTCTTCTGTCACATCTGCACTGAGCCAAATTCCTTCCATGTTTGATTCAAGTGTTACCTGTAAATGTAAATTTGTGAACACAATTTCTTTTGTACTGATGTTGATTTTGAAAAACTTGCTCTGAGCTTGAAATGAATAAAGTGCAGTATCCAATGGCACTGGATTGTCTGGTTTTCTAACATGGGAGAAGCTCTAGATGGAGCCTCTCGTGTCTAGGAAATTCCCAACAGCTCAATACTGGTAGATTTTCTGAAGCCTAATAGGTTGTAAACCTTTAATTTATTAGGGTTAAAACCTTTATTAACACCATTCTGTTCACCCATCCAGTGATTTTCCTGCATGTTGTTAAAAACTTGATTGTTTCTGAGGTGTCTGCTTTTATCAGATGTAGCTGGAATTGGTGATCATGTCCAAAAGATTTTTGAAGGGGTAAAATGCATGGAAACACTCATGCAGACAAAGCTTGACTGCATAAGATTTGTTTCCCTAGAGATCCGGCACCTATGCTGTTAGACACATCTGAACTTCTGTGGATTTTTGGTATTCTATTCTTACTATCCATTAGAGAAGGAGAGATAAAAAAGTTTCATCAGATGCAAATTATCATTCCCAGAGAATATCAGCAATGACCAATGGAACAATTTCTTTCATACATTCTGGCTCTTTCTGAGGTTGTATTGCATCATGGTGGGTCTTTGATAAATGTGTTTGAAATACACTGGCCTGATAGACGAAATGAGAGTTAGCAAATAATTTAATTTTTTGTCATATTTTGTCATGTCAACAGCCAATAGGCAGGATGCAAGTGAAATGTTGAGACTCTCTTTGCCTTCACTTCTGTTTGTATTTGCTGTATCTGAAGATGCTCCTGGATCTTGTTACAAAAATACTTTTCATTTAGAAATTCAGACCTCCTCTGATGTAAGCCCCAAACATTTCCATTTCTAAGTGCAAGAAGTTGATCCCTATGTAATTATGAAGTGGTGCCAGGTTCTAACCACACTACCTTACCTACCCTAGTCCTTTGGAAATGTTTTACTTGCAACAACTTTATATACCAAACATGTTTGTTTAATGAAAATGTTGTTATGATAACTATAAACAACATATTTTTTATATGACTAATGTTTTCATGAAGTTGGTTTCATTTTCACAGGTCACTGCTTCCTTTTCCTGCCTCACAAACAGTTTTCTCAATCATTTTGGGCACTGAGTTGGTGCCTCAGCACTTGGATCTGTGTCATATGATTTGATCTTCTTTTCAGTGTTCTCCTATTTGTCCCTGTCCATGTGCTGTTTTTTCTGACACTATTTTTTTTCTTCTTGTGTCATTTTATGACAGTGTTTCTCCATGATGTGCTTGTTAAGAGGTGAAATATCTGGAAAAAAAATAGACTTTTTGTGAGAATAATAAAAAAAGAAAAAAAAAAGAAACTGACCAATAAGAAAGTAAGTAATTTTATTTTTTCTAATTTCTAATGTCTTATGTGCGTGTGTGTTGTTATCTTAAAATCTACATTCATGACTTTATCTACAACATAAGGCATATTTTGTAAATGAGCTTAAACAGTCTATCAAATTGTAATTATTCATGAATAGTCTCTCTTTATTGCTAATGATATGCATCACACTAACAGAGTTTGATATACTGGTTATACAAATAAAGTTCATCTGAGGTAACACAGTTTATTCCTTTCTCAGGCATCCAGCCTGGATCTCAGCTGCAAAGTAAGTACCTCTCCACATCTCATTACCAAAATAGCAACCTTCTTAATCCTTTGCTGTGAAGAACAAAGGTTCGATTCAGTCTCTGGAGCAGAAATAGGATCTTATTAATGCACTGGCAACTACAGTGTTGTTATTTTTGTTAGAAAAGAGAGAAACAGGAATTTGCTGATATATGTTAGATTAAGGACTGTTATTGTTTTGAGATTAATTGGATTGTTAGCTGGGCCTTTCCGATGTCAGCTGAAAATCTACAAAATACCTTGCATTTTAATATTCTGGATGAGATCAGGAGCTACTTCCTGGAAGCTCACTTCTATTCTTTGTGTTTGTTCTGAAAGAATCACTGAGGCTATCAGTTAAATGGTGTGTTGTTTTCTGTACAGGGAGAAAAGTTCTTGTGCCTGTCTTGCCTGGAGTGCTGGCCTTGCTGGACTCAACCCATTTGCCACCAGTGGATTAAAACTGAGACCCAAAACACCAGCGAGGTACCTCATGCTCAGCCCTTGGGGAGGTCTGTGCACTGGCCGAGTGTCGAGGCTTGAACATGTTACAACAGACCCATGAATTCACATTTTGAAGTGTTAGAGCTCCAGTGATGTTTTATGGAGCCTTTTCTTTCTTTCAAAATATTTGCAGTCATGTAGTATTGGGCTGCAGTGGGCTGTAACATTTGGGATCCCTGTGGAGTGGACTCTCTCTGGCAGCTCATCAGGATGAAAACTGAAATTAGGATTGCAGAGAAGAACCAGAGAAATTCCACTTGGTGAATTAAATGTTATTGAGCTTGAGGACCTGGAAAAGAGTTAGTGATGTATCTGGGTGAACTCCCAAATTGGTATGAATGACAGGCATAGAAGGTATTGCTTAGAGCAAAAATGCAGTGTAACAGATCTGTTGAGACCAGCAAACAGTTTCTGGAAATGACTGGTGCTTGATAGTTCTTAGTGATAGGCAAATGGCATACTCCAAATTACGTGTGGTCCATTGTGTAATTCTGTGTGGGTGTGGACCTTTGCAGGTTATTGGCCTATGCCACCTGGCACAAAATGTGTTTGCTTAAGTCTTAGCATGTAGAACTTTGGGTGTTTGTCTTCATGTGTATGTGAAAGGTTCAGGGTTAAGTGAGGGAGAACTAACCAGAAACTGAGATCAGCAGAAGCATTCTGGATAACTGTTCCCAGGCCTGAGTAATGAGGACCATTAAGATGGCATTTGCAGTGAACCTCAACTCCCTGCTTTTATTCCTCATGGTTAGGGCAAACCCTGTGTTTGGCCTGCAGGAGATATGTCAAGATAGACAAAGATATGTCTATTGATGGAGTATGCAGCCCGAGACTTGTGGCTTGAGTATGTGAACTTCTATTTGTGAGTTGGAAGAGATTTCTGAGCATAGTCTAAGGCAATTATGTAGTATTAATTGCTAATTTATCCTGATTGTCCATGTCACCAGAAGGCTTTAAGTATCAAGTTTTGATAAAACAAGAATGTTTGAAGTACCAATAGGATATTTGGGCCCAAGTCTGTTCTCTGTTATACCACTGCAAAGTTGGAACACTTGTGTTGACTTCTGAGTGACAAAGCAAAGCAGGACTGGACCTGAGAGACGAAGTTGCCTGTGTGTGCCTTGGGCAGTGAAACAGCTGACTGAAGAAACAGCTCATGTACTGCTTGCATTTCCCCTTGATGGTTTCCAGCTGTCCTCTTATCCTTGGCATGCAAAACATTAATTAGTTTCAGCTTATGAAAATAAGTATGAGGCAGTGTGTGCTACCCACCTTAGAGTGCTGCACATAAACAAGGCACTGCAAACAACGAACCGTGCTCACAAATGCTAAGTGACATTGTTGTTATTAAGCCAGGGGCTGAGTAAAAATAAAGTTCCTTTGTTGCTAAACACAGTCTAGATGGTTTCTCAGCCTGGCAGTAGAGGAAGACATGCTTACATGCAGGAGATCAGTGTGTATTGCACCTGAGCCATTCAGCAGAGGGTCACAGACATCATGCTTTCATCTCCACAGGTCTTTTAGTATTAACTGAGGCAAGAGATGGGAAAGAGCTAAATAGGACAGTAAAAGAAGAAGATATTTCTTTCTTATTCAACCCATAAACACATATTTGTAGGATATTAACAGTTTGGGGGGGTTTTGTCATTGTAGTTCTTGCACATTTTCAGATTAGGGTTCCTAGACAGCTTTGTAAGAATTTGTAAGTATAAAATGTACTCAAAAAGTTCACACACCTTAATTTTCAAACCTGCTAGTTTATTGTCACAACACAAGACTGAATAAGTACTTTTGTGCTGCTGCATTAAGATCTGCCACTACCTTGCTGCCCAAGTTGGAAGGAAAGTATTAGCAGAAACTAACTGAAATCAAGAGATGCAGGAGAAAATGCATTAAACAAAGCATGAAAATCCCAATGTCTTAGCACCATTGCTAAAGAAAGATTTTGCTGAATTGGATGAACTGCTACTGACTTTGTTTAAAGCAAATTGAAAAGCAAAACAAACTCAAATTTAGGTGAATACTAGAGACAGTGGACAAGGTTATGCAAAAGTTGGAATATGTATGGATGCTGCAGTCATGATGGAAGAATTTCTGCAAAAAGGAAAAGAAGGTGTTGACAGGTTGGTGTTGCCCAAGTAGAAGTGTTGTATAAGCCCGGAGAAATTATCCCTATGATTTAAAAATATAAATAATAAATGAACTACAGATACTTGTGTGGACAGTAATGAGTCTGGACAAATATACTACTAAAAAACCAATGATTACTTAAGATTACTTGGAAAATGAATCATACTGGGATCATCAAAGAACAAAATTAGATGAATTGTGGTTGAAAAATATTAAATGGTTTTTTTGGTTTATGGTCATAGAATGTAACTGTGATGAAGTTGTGTTATGATGGTGGAGGAGAAAACTGAGAAGAAAGCAGAAAACATGTTTGGAAGGGTAGGTAGAAGTGTCTTGTATGAATTCCCTGCCTTACATTTAACTCCTGATGCCATTGAGAGCAGAAGTGCTGCAGATCTCCACGCAAGTAGTTTCCACGTAATTTATTGCATTAAACTAGATATACATTGAGTAGAGGTGGTGGACAAACTCACTGTTATGTGTTTTGCTATAAAAATGGTGAGTGAAAATCTCTATCCTGGGATCAAGAAAGGGCTGGAAGAGACATGGTGGAGCTTCACTGTAGGCTGGGGCTGTAGGTGAAAGTGGATAACATTCAGAAGCAATCCAGTTTTTATTGATCATTTTCACATTTTACTGTAGAAAGATAAAGCAATGCACACTTTGTGTGCATTGTAAAAAGTCCGATTCTATCAAAGCATCTGATGTTTATCTCATTTCTAAGATGGGTGCTGGTGTAGCAAATCTCATGTGTTGCCTGATTGCCATGATCTTAAGCAGAGGGTTTTCAGACTGCAGTGCTGAATTTAAATATGTCTATCTCATCCATTCAGTAATACTTTGTGAGGTGCTGGTATTCCCCAGGGACCTGTCACCCTACAGAATATGGGAAATTAAATGAGTGAAAGGAGTTTGGTAGACCACATATTGATTTTATGTTTTCTTGAGGAGGTGAATCCTGGAGGAACACATGCTTTTGAGCAGGAGGACACTCTGTCTTAGTGGAGCAAGACTTTGAAGTTGGGAAAGGAAAACCAGGAAGAGTTTTGATACTCAAAATAAGGAATAGTCATATCAATACAGAAAACAAAGGAAACTACCATGTTCTGGCAGGCCTTCCAAATTAGTGAGCAAAGCCAGCCTTTATTGAACTGTGAGAATATTGCTCAAGATTCATCCTGCATTTCTACTCCTAACTGCCTGAGTCATTGAAGGTATGTCTACTCAGGGTTTGGCAGGCAGATACCAACTCACTCTGTCTATGCTCCAAGCTGGCTGGATGAAAGCTCCCTGGGAATGGGAATCTGTGTGGCCATCATTAGTATATGGCTGAGCCTGAACTGATAAGTTCTGCTGGGAAGCAGAGTATTTTCATTTGGGATCAGAATTAGACGGTTGCAGTTACAAGACTTTAGGATCACAGGCAACTTCTATCAAGCCATCTTGGAGGATTTGCAGATGGAATTGCATCTTTTTGCAAATCTGCCATGGAATTTCATCCTTAATATGGTAGAACGGTTAGCCAGATGTGACCTGGAAAAATGGTGCCCTAAAGGCAGCACATTCTTTCAAAAGAAATCTTGAGTAAAAATCCAGAGACAAATTCCAGCTTTAGCAATTTGCTTTCAGATGCTTTCTGTCAGGTCTGAGGATTGATGTATGCTAGTGCTAAAGACTGTATATTTGAATCTAAATCATGTTTAGATTCTAAGTCCATGGGAAGGACTGTGCACAAATGAGCACCTTGCAGTAATAGCTGCCTGAATTAAATGTCCCTCCCTATACAGTCCATTACACAAAACACTTTCTCCCTTGTTTACAATGAATGGAAAGTGCTAATGACAGCTGATTTATCCGATGTCTCAGGCTCCTGAGTCACTTAGGTACTTTTGAAGATGTTCTCTTTCAAATTACTTTCTGTAATTTATTTCCATGCCTCTGATTTTCAGACAAAAAACCCTGTTCCTAAATAAATGCATGAGTGTTTAAAAATTATTTTGTCCTTAGCCTCAGGAGTCCATTAGTTGCTATGTTCTGGAAGCAAATGAAAACAGTGCATTCTGTAGGATATAAAACTATTCTTTACTGTGGCAGTGGATCACTGCAATCATTAGATTAATACCAACTATTATCATCCAGGATGCTCATCTGGTTTTACTGAGCTTTGTTAACAAAATGGAAATGATTAAAGTCATCCTGTCTGTCCCTCTAAAGTTGTGCCTGTGAATGAGTCACTGTTTTACAAATGGGTGTTGCCAGACACTGATATTGAATACGGCTCCAGCCGTCAGAGCTCTGGGTCCAGCACCACATTCTTGGAGTCCAGACTGGAACACTGAAATTCCCATTGAAATCTGTGGGAATTCTGCATGGCCAAAGCCCAGCTACCTTTATGGCTGGCTGAGGCAGCTTAGAGAGAGCTGTAATTCTATGCATGTAGTAGCTTGGGGACACAATGTGAATTTCATGCATCTCTTCACTTAGTCACTTGAAACCCAAGATGGAATTCAGGATACCACACTCCACTTAGGCTCTGTTTGCTTGAGGTCAGCTGAGTGCCCAGTGCTGCCTCTGGACGTGACACCTTCCATCCCGCTGGCAGAGCTGTGACTGTGGTTTCTGTGCTCCCTGGGCACAAGAGGTTTTTGCACTGAGCAAACCCCAGTGTGTCAGTAGCTGGCCTGCCCTGCCCGCTGCAGTGGTCCTGGCTGGCTGCACCAAGGGTGGAATATCCTTCAGCCTTTTCACAGACATGGAGTTGTTTGCATGTCCCAAAAATAAACGGCTCCCAAAGATCTTGCGGAGTTGTTCACAGTTAGCTGTGTCCTATGGGCAAGGTAGATCCAATAGTT